ATATTTCTTACGAGAATGACACGCACAACCGACCCTTCGAACCAATGTAAAAAATGGAATGGTAACGATTCTAGAGATGCATACGTTGCATCGGCAAAATATGAAAAGGCTTAATTTTGAAAAGAGAACACGTGGATTGTGCGTCCTGTGCCTGTCCTGCCGGAGACTAATGTCCTTATGCATTGACTGTGGAGGAGATGACTGAAATGACTGTTATTTCTTTATAATGTCATTTCTTTTACGCATAAATATACAAATATATAATAAAAATGAAAAGATTTGTGTCTGTGTATGAAAATAAATTGATCTTTCCATATAAATGCATCATCTTTCTTACTCAAAAATTGCTCTTACGCAGTATGTCAAATAAATACTTGTTTGAAACGTACACTAAAAGACAATGTTTCCTGTTAAAGTACCATATCTTAAAAGCACCGCTTTAAATTTGTAGCAAGAAATGTAGAAACATAATAAAGTTGTAGCGTTCTTTCACAAAAATCACATTTTTCGGAACATACACTTAAAAAAACATTTTATTGAGAATGATGTCACTTCGTTTGTTAACTTTTTTTTAATCAAAACATATTCTACGATATTGAAGCTACATTCCCAAATTTATTTCGATTCAGTATCACTGCTATTTTTTGAACACCAGCTACTTAAAACTTGAACTGGGTGCAGGTGACCCAGTGTGATAACGGTGATTCGATATAAAATATTAATCAGTACACTTGGTCACTTTAAGTAGGGTATTTTTTAACGACAATCTAAGAAACATTTAGAAACAATTCATATGTCATTATATCCTTATTAGTTGTTTCACGTGGTATTTAAATCCCATTTGAACTGCTAATGAAAGTGACGTAATTAGGAGGACCGTAAATTACCCGACAGATATTTTTAAAATATTTAGTCAAATATTTAGATCTGGTTTTCAGTTGCTGGCTCGATTTTTCCGATCGTCATAGAAATATTATTTTTTTCTAGTGTGTTTCTTTGCGTCAAGGTTCAAAGTTATCGATTATTAAATTTTACACGTAAAATGGTATTGATCGAAAGAATAAAAGAAAAAAATATGTCTCATTGTTCGTTGAAATGAAAGAGGAACACTTGATTTCGTTCATTTTTCGTTACAGTTCACAGTAAGCTTTCAACAATAAATATTCAATACAAAATGTACATGTTCATGTGTTACTTTGTCTGTGAGTCACTTTTACACAGAAATTCGGAAGTTAATTTTCTTATCATTCGCCTTTATTTTTCTTTGACTTTCATCAGCCAGTGTTTACATAGAAATTCAAAGATAAACTTTTCATTATACTTAAGTAATAGGACACTTATGGAATGTGAAGCATACTGAAATCTACCGAACTCTGTTCAAATTTATCAAAATCTACAGAAATCTACTAAATTTTATTAATACTGCTGAAATCTACTAAATTTTACTTACTAAATGAAAGAAAAAGCAAGCCTTATTGTCGTTACAAGTTCAATATAAAATTATTTGACACCCAAAAGTCATCACAAAATTAAGATTCCTCAACAGAAGAAAAAAAATGATTCATTCTAGAATCTCAAAGTATAACTAGTTCATATCTACATTTTTACTAACACCCTAACTTTAGCGAGGAAGTGTAATTTAAATCATATCGAGTCTATGCAAAAATTTCCATCGCATTCTTTTTCGGAGAATGTGTATTTATTTTTTATCATATTTATCATTAGTTACCATAAGAGTACTAACAACGTAATATTTACCACACTCGGTAAGGACACGAATTGTGAAAATTGAAATAAAAAGGAGAAATACACAGTGCCTTTTAATGCCATCGATTTACAAACGAGGAGAACTTTTGCGTACACCTAATGCAATACTTTCTACACGAACCCAACGAGTGCCCTAATACTTACGAACGACAGTGTACGGCACAGTGTGTGGAAATTAAGGAACTGATTTTTTTGCTCGTTGGTCGCCTTTTTTTTTACACGTCTCGCCCCGCTAAGAGACAAGTTGCAAACATGCCTCTAGAAAGAAATGTTTCCTGCGTTTACGTAAGCCACTGATAATCGGAGGGGAAAACTGGCCACCGACATGCCGTTGCAACGAGCAGCTTGCTTTCGGGTGGACAGTGTTAATTCAGCTTCTGAACGAGCTACTTGGGGATTAGTTTTCCTCTGGTACATCGTATTCAGTGACGTTTCTCTGTTTCCTTCTTTCTTTTTCCCCGTTTCCTTCGATAAATTAATCTCTGTGCTCTAATCACCGGATTGAAGCTGCACCGTTGTTTTATTGTTTGTTCTCTCCTTATCGAAAGTTCCTCTTGAACGAAGAGGGGAAAGCAACACAGAGTATTACGATAACGTACTTAATTAGATATTCGATAAGTTTCTATTGTTTATTTATTTCGCTTGCAATCGGAGCTTCTTCTTCGAACGGTACCTGCTGTTCAAACAAGAGAAGCCCAATCAACGTAACGTGCGTAAGATTGATTCGTAGCTTTTATGTACCCTCATTTTGTTTATACGCTATTTTGTATCGAGAAACAGTTTTGGTAGATTTCATGTGAATCTTAAGCAGTGATCGAATCATGTGTCGTTTATACATTTTTTGTTTAGAAGTAAACGTTAACGTTTTATTTGTTCCTTTTTTGTTTCAAAGAGTTTTCAGAAATTAATCGTGGTCTAATCGCTTGGCTAGATGTTGCAATTTAGTTAAAGATCAAATTTCTATTCGATTATTTACACGTACAGAGTGTCTCGCGAAGCTGACAATTGAAGAACAGGTGCAATTGCACTTTTAAGATGCGTCAATGTACAAAAGTGCATAAAAGTAACAAGAATACGTAGTGTTTAGTATCATTTAACTGTGTTTTGTTATATTGTTTGTATCTCCAATTGTTTAATAGATGCAGCTTGCACCAGTTGCGCGGGACACCCTGTACAATTGTTCGAAAAATATTTTCTATTTTATGTTTAACATGAAATTAACGTGCAATGTTTACCATTTCAAGTTGATTATGAAATTATAGACTGTGGTAATAAGCTTGTACATTGTATAATTGCACATCATTTAACCTTGATTGGAACATATGTCAAAACATATCATAGTCGATTATTTTGCTTTTAATTGTAAATTTTCGAACTGTACTTTGTTACTTTTTATACATTGTTAAAGGGTTAATGAATTGAAATGCATCTCCTTTAATGAAAATAAAAGAATTATTTTCCTTGCAATTGTGACATAAAATGAGGAGTAAAGTTAACTCGAAACACAGTGTGAAAATTTTCTTCGAATTAAATCGGTACCTACAGGGTTGAAAGGCTATAGTCGGAGCCGAATATATTGGCCGGTCACGTGGTTTTCTCCTTCGCTGCATTTCTATTCCACATTTATCGTTCGACAATTAACAGTCGCCCTACAGAATCTTTCCGGTCCGCTTGCGATACTGCAGCACGCACGCACGCACAACACTCACGCACGCCACACAAAAAGCTACTCGCGAATAAATATAACGAGAGTATACAAGCAAGACGCAGAACTTGAAAAACATATGAATCACCCAACGACGAAAATTTCAATTTCTACAATTGTCGTCTTTATGAAAAAAAGGAATTTCTATAATTGTCGTTTTTATAAAAATAACACCAGTAGATTGACGAGTTTCTCCCGATGAAAGTCAGTTTGAAGTTGACACGTGTAAATCGGACTGAACTTCGATGAATTTCAAATCACCTTTAAAAATGGTCTCGTTTTCTCTAATCCGAGATATGTAAATTGATCACCGGTAAAACTGATCCTATTGATGTCTTGTTTAGGCTCATTTTCACCAGGAGAATCTCGCCAACTCATCGGTATTGTTTTCGCAAAGATAGAACGAAAATTAGAGAAACTGAAATTTTAGTCACTGGATGATTCATTGTGACACAGGCGGTGTTCCGTTCAAGAGTCGCGTCTTGAACGTCGTTGCTTAACGACACTACGAGTATCTCGAAAAAGCATCTTGGCAAAAACAGACGGAGGAAAGAAGTGCACCTACGCCAGAAGTGTAACAAAGAACGCGTTATAAAAACAAACACGCCCATGCGCCTATGACGTTGACCTGTTGCACTACACATACACGGACCTCGCTTGGTGGGGGGTCGTCGGTGTGAAACAGCGGAGGAGGGTAAATCCACGTGACCGGCCAGTATATTCGACCCCGACTATAGTACGCAACAAAATAGAATCAGCGTGGAAGTATATACATAAACGTCGCGTAGCTGACTTACTGCTGATTTCAGTTGTCAGTGTGATCGGGGCTATAGTGTTGAATGAAAACTTTCGTGACGTCCATTCATGATATGCAACTTATTAATATGTACATAAATAATGTTATCAAATTGAGACGCGCAAGTGCGAACTAACAGTAGTGATATACTTCGATTGTGGATCACTGTACAGAGTAGTTCAACCCTCTCCAGGCTAATGATTCCATTTCTTATCATGCACTATTTTCGCATTTACATCCTGTACTTCTGTCCATAGATGTCATTGGATATCATTTTTTAGTAAAGTAAACATTTTTACAAGTGGCCATACTGTTACATTTTGGAGGATTTAACTATCTTTAAATTACGTTGGTAATAAAGTGTTTCCCCCTTTTTGAAGAATTTAATTAAACTGGGCTGGAAAGGGTTGAAAGTGTAAATGAATATGTTCTTTCAATTAAATTTTCGTAATTTATAAATCTTCTCGTACACCCATAAAGCTACGTTTTCCAATGAACATATCACGTAAACTTAAGATGGATTATGAATTTAAATTCCGTGTTCATATTTAAAATTACCATTTAAAAGCATAAATAGTTTGCTTTCGCACTGTCCTCTTGATTAATTGCGCGAGTTAATCATTTAATTTGTATTTTATTAAACAGACACCCAACTCTAGTTGAAGTTTGAAAACGTCCAGTGCTTCGTTACTTGTGCTTTCGACACATTTCAAGAATTTTCTTGCCGATAATATGCCAAGCAGCAAAACCAGAATTGCCATACTCGGTGGTGGTGTAGCTGGATTGGTGATTGCTCGCCATACAGCTGGCAAATTAGACACTTACAGTGTTACGTTATTCGAACAAACTGATCAGGTCGGTGGAACGTGGGTCTATACCGACGAAACGGACGTCGACAAACATGGATTACCAATTCATAGCAGTATGTACAAGAATCTAAGGTTAGTGTGAAATTCCATTTGACATTTCACTCGCCATTTTTCCCTCGTTGATTATCTCATTGCCGCATCCTTGACCAATCAAGTACCTATATCGAGTAAATCTCGATACGATTTCTGTGTCAATTTTTTAGCATAGTGTAACTTCGATTTTTGACACCGTTTTTTGTGCATTTTTTTTTCAAATGAAATCTTAAAACAGTTAGTTTGATGTTCGACAGTTTAACAGACGTCTTTGACATTTTCAGAATTAGACATTCATTTGTAATTAAATCTTCGAAGGCACTGTTATATAAAAATTTTGAATCTTCTCTTCATCTTGCCTGGCATCAATTTTCATTTCATTGAGCTCCATTGATCAGTTGACCAAGTAACAAGGCAAATTATTGATCAATGGCTTGTAACAGATTAGGCAATTTAATTAAATAATGAGTAAAAAATTTGGTGAATACCATGTATTACGATATTGACAAAATACTAGTGTCGTTTTCCAAATGTTACTTAATAGGTCTTAATGATATTTGTTCCGAGTTTATTACGCTTACCTCGCAAAGCGTATAAATATGGATATTTTTTTTTTTTTAACGCAACAAGAAAGGAGTAATTACAAGATATAATTAGATTTACAATAGTAGACAGTGATTGAAAAATTTCTTTCTTACTTTATTTTAATTGTCAGCGCAGCTTATGACACGGACGAGCCAAAGCGGCTATTTTTGAGGTTAGGACGCCACTTATTATTAGCGTGTATTTTGAGGATTAAAATATATCCTGGCCAGGGAAAGTTAGGTTCATAACACAGAGTTTTTAGAAGGTTGTTTCTGTCGTCCTTAATAGCCTGAAAATGTGTCATAAAATGGGCATTTCGAAGAGTGAATCAGAATTCAATTGTAACGGTGAAGAGACCGAAGCGGCCAAAACCTAGGAGATATCCCACGCTGTTGCCAAACATTAGCTCACTTTTTAAGGGAGCAAGATTAAGCACGCTAATTGGCGATTGGAGATTTTTAGGAATAACCGATCAGCGTGTATTCGACAGATAGAGAAGTGAGTGTCGACGAGCGGAAACGGTTCGAAAACAGCAGTCGGATCGTTTAAAACGCCGAACGATCAGTCTAACAATAAGCACATGCAATTGCGCACTAGCAATCAGGCTAGTGAACTTGATGTTCAGGCCGATAAGAAACGTTTAAGTTTCTTCTATACTAAATAATATATACGAATAAAATGAGTTAAGCACAAACTGCGTTCAAAAATCAGTTTCCCGAGGAAACAGGAAAGAGAACTTCAGATGGCGCTAGGGTGCAGTATCCAAGGATAATCAATATCGTATAAATTCCTGTCAGCAACATTTATAACAGAGTATCCTAGTTTTTTCCAATCAAACTTTGTCAGTATGTTCTGTGGGTATAAGTAAGAGAAAGATGTTATATAAATATAGGTCGCTTGAAGCTGTATTGAAAAGTTATAAGGGTAATACGAGATGCGTAGGGAACGATATGTGAGGTTATGTCGTATAGTACGTTTATGTGAGCTGCGTTTACGATCTGAGGTCGTTGAAGGTGCTGAATGTAACTTTGGCCAGTATTATTTTTTTTACAATTCTCTTCGTATTTTGTTACAACTCTTTGAAGAAGTTTTAAGTCACCTATGTTTATAAAACACTTTTTTCTTACGTATACCCGTAGAACAGGACAAAGTTCGATCGGAAAAAAACTAGAACACTCTACATACTGGCAGTCCAAGTCGGAACGTATGAAATTTTCTACTTATTGTTAGTGATACTTTATCATAAAAATGATTATCTGACGAAATGAAATTCGGAACAAACAGGAAGAATATTTTGTTGAAATTAAACGGGCGCAAATACCTTTGTACTCGGTGCATTTTTTTTTAGAAACGAACATCTCAGGAAGTTCAAACTTATTATTCAGAATGTCTTGTAAACAATCGTGTATGTAAATATAGTCACTCTTATTATTCAGAATGGTCATTCATCCTTTAGATATACGTTAAAAAACGATGTTTACAACCTCCGTGTACTTATTGGACAGTTCAGTGATTCAGATGCATCACTACGTAGACAGTCATCTGTGATGTTACTGCATGAGCACAGACAATCTGCCGCCTCTACTTAATATCGCAATTGATACAGCTCGATATTGCTGGGGGAGAAAATATTCGCAATACTAAAATAAGAAAATAACAATAAGAAAAAGTGTTGATTAACAGAAAAGCGTTCGTCATACATCACTGAAAGTATAAAATTGCTTTTTTACGATATGCAAATATAATTACATTAAATCTCCGGTTTCGAATAAAACAGCTTGTAACAGTTTATCTGATTCATCCGGTATACAATTTTTAAACACAATAGCGAAATATATTCGTTCGAAACGTAGCATGACTAAAACAATCGAAATAGAATAATCGGCTATGAAAAGTGACCTCATGCTCGTTGTATTTTGCTAATATCGATAAATCGACATTTTCTTCGATCTCGGTAAGATTTTTCAAATGGTACAACTGCACTGATATGGTACTGAAGCCGTAAAAAGTTGTTTAGGTAATGAATATTCTAATTAAATTCACTTTATTATTTCTGCACAGAAAGATTTACAAAGGGACATTATTTACAGAATGGACCGTATGTACAATACAAGGTAATTGTTGGGAATAGGGTGCAATGACCTCGAAATATGTTGACAAGGTCAACATTCTAAACAACTTTTCCCAATGCTTGTTTACTTCACGCGTTCGTTAATGATCACTGTTGCTTAATGACCACTTTGCGATGGTCAAATGAACCCGTTAATGGTCAACTAATAATGAACGTTGACTGCCGCTCACTAATCGATAACGGCTTAAATTTATTTTTCTCAATTTCACGTTGTTCTGCAATAAGGACGGTAAATGCTAAGTGATTAAGCAAATAAAGCCAAACGTGACTCAAACATAACGTAAACTTATTCCAAACCTACAGAATGTGTATACCTAACATTGAAATATACCATCCGAACATAGAAAGATATCACGTATAGGGAAAAGTTGTTTAAAATGTTGACCTTGAGAACATACTTCAAGGCCATTGAAATCGGCGCTGAGTAGCCTGTTCCCAATAAATACCACGATTTAAATTGCACTTCAATCTTACAACTCCGCCGCGTTTTATCGTGGAATATTTCAGTCGAGAAAATAAAGCAGGTTCGTAATTGAATTCTGACGCAGATAAATACCTTTCACAATTTGGATTATTCGGTCGGCGACGCAAACACGGAACGTTCCATCACTTCTGTTTTTATGTCATTTCTACGGTAATGACGGTAATTGGGCTGTAGTCGGACTAGAGTCGGTCGCGATAAACTCTGCTGACACGCGATACACTTCTTGACATAATAATGAGACAATCGCTTTGCCAAGCAGTTCCGGAAGAAAAAGGAGATCGATGCTTCGTCAATAAATCAAATGAGAATAATAACGTACACGAAGATGAATACAAAGTTACTTGAAACGAAACTCTGTCACTGTTTTAAAGGCATTGTATAGTCAAGAAAAGAAACGATTAACAAAATGTACGATAATAGAGCAGAACGCTGTTGTTCGAATAGTTTAGATCAGGTGTGTCCCTGAACAGCTAGTAATGCGACCCCACAAGATCGTAAACTTTCAACATTATTGTGTGATTTTTAATGATATTTTTCACGACTCGATTGTGCTATAATAAAAAAATATGAAAAAATAAAGGAAGTTTTGTTACTTATTGCAACAAAATTTACTACGTAATTCTCTTATACACAACAATGGCGGGCAGTGATTTGTCTAATACCAACTGACGGCGTTGCGTCGTACCAAAATGGCAGCCAATTAAAGTAATGGACCAATTTTTGGTACACCTTGTGTAACTCTGGCTCAAGGAGGAAATGGTCCTCCACGAACAATGGGCACAATAGGCTTCTCGGAAAGATTGTAAATTTTGTAAGATACAGAATAAACCAGATTCCTAAAACTTAGAATATCAGGCACATCAACCCAATCAATCAACGATCCGCATTAAGGCCTGAACGTAGATTGTGTTGAAAAAATCCAGAAATTTTACTCGATTCCGAAGTTTCTTTTTATCAAAGCACTATGACTGATATAAAGTTTGGTATTAAGTTGGATACGAAGTTTATAATACTTATTTTATGTTCTGGAGTAATTCTATCAGCTGAAACAACTCAACTTATTTTGCATAATTTCATTATCGATTGCTTCTTGTTAATGTGAAAAAGTGCCTTTTACAATATACAGTGAGGAATATTTAAGCAGAAGTTACGTTACTACAAGTTAGTTTATTAATGATTACTAAAATGACGTTGAATTAAAATTTGATCGAATATTACTGACAAAATTTGACGTACTCTACTGAAACCTCTGTTTTAATAGGCCATTAAATATCATTGCAGAACAAATCTTCCTCGAGAAATCATGCAAATACCTGATTTTCCAATGAAGCGCGATGAAGGACCGTCGTTTGTCCATCACAGCGTAATTCGAGAGTATCTTTGGGATTATGCAAAACATTTTAATTTATATCCACATATAAAGGTAAAAGTTAGTCCTAAAAGTTCGTTGAAAATTAATCTTGGAAGTTAATATTTTACCTAAGCATCTCAAGTTAGCTTATACAGTTTCCTAATTAAAATATCTTATAACTACGATAATATTATTCATTTGCTAATATTTAATAATATTCGTATAATCTAAAAACATTTGAAAAATAAGTTATTTTTACATTACCAGGCATTTAAAAGTCGATTTTCTCGAAAGCAAAGCTTCGTACGAAAAGTTTATTCTACATTTTCGACTTATTTCACCAGTTACCGACCACCCTGTATACAGGATGTGCCCGAAGGTATTGTACAAGTAGGAGATAATTCCTTATGCAAAAATAAATAAAATGTGTACAATAACACTTTTTCATCCGAGGTTAGTTTTTGAGAAAATGGGGTTTGCACTTACTATCACTAAGATACGGTTCGTCGAACGACATACAATGCCTGCCGTGTGTGTACACGACTTACGAGCTTCTGAATTCAAGAACAATTAAGGAATTGTTGTAACGTTATTACTAATTTTTGCATAAGGAACCACCTCTTGCCCGCTTGTACAATACTATCGGTCGCACCCTGTATGTTATAAGTTGGAATAAGTAATGCGCATCATAACGCCATCTTTGATATTACTAATAACATTTTTATTGGAACATTAATTGCCGTTCCCGCACGTTTTTTTCTTCCAAAAAATAAATAGCACATTTGATTTTTAGTTGAATACGGTGGTGAAATATGTGGAGCCGGAAACACTGCGAAACGGGCAAACAATCTGGATGGTCACATATGAGGACTTGGAAAGCAAAATAGAAACTACTAAAGCGTTCGACGCCGTGGTCTTGTGTAATGGTCATTACACTGTAGGCCATATTCCACACATTCCAGGTATTGAAAGTTTCCCCGGAGGATCTATACATAGTCATCAGTACAGAGTACCAGATGTGTACGCTAGAAAGAAAGTTTGCATCCTCGGTGCATCTTGGTCTGGTATCGATATCGCCGTAGAAGTCTCGCAATACGCCGAAAAGGTACACGAAACTGTACTCACAAATTGTCAGTGTTACACATTGTTTCGTTTTATTTTTGAGAGGGCTGCATGTTATCGCTTTGCAAACGAGTAGACGATGTTTCATTTTTGTCGACTTTCGTCTTGACTTCTAACGCTAGAAGGACCGGCCGGGTCAAAAGTGACCCATTAGCAACTTTCCAAAAAATAGTGAATTTTCGATACCGATAAGTATTGTCGTTTGCAACTATTGGGTTTAGGTGATAAATTAAAAGATGGTATTTCAATTATAAACTCTTCTTAATTTTTCATACGCGAGGAAGGCACGTCTCTGCGCAACCATAAGAGATAGACAAGACGCTAAAGAAAACAAAGCATATCAGTGTTCACCCAAGTTGGTTACTATGCTATTCTTCTATATACGTTTACATTAATCTGTCCTCAGTATGTTGATCATTTTTGCTGTTACTACTACACACACACACACTCATTCCTCCTAATAATCCAACAGCAACTTTCTGACTTTCTTTTCCGCATGTTTACCTCTACTTGTATCGACATGAGACAATTTTCTTTATCACATTTTAAGTTACATAAAAATTCACTCTCGGAATGTTGCTACTGGCATATTTTGGCCTGGCCGGTCCTTCTAGCGTTAAATACACAAAATAACACGTGAATGAATTATTATAAGATTAGGTGTTCTTTAATTCTGAACGAATTATCGACAATTGTTTCCGTTCATAAAAGGTATCTAGCCTTACAAATTGACTTAGGAGTTGTATCAAAGTAACTTTGTTTTTAAATTCCACATTAACTTTGTCCTTTTATACAAATTCGTGGATGTAATAAATACAATGAAACACGATATAATCATTATTGTAATAATGTTTAATCTTATTGTTAGAATAGTAACGATAGAACAACTGAAAAATTTACAAAATTGTTACAAAAATTGTTATTGATTAAATGCTAGTATTGAACAAACGGTCCGAGCCACCTTTGTCAATTAGTGTCTTGTGTTGTATAACGTTGTTTAATATAGTATAATAATTGACTGTATTTGTGTCGTTTTGTAAATCATGTGTAACGACAAAGAAGTAAAGCGCGACAATATGTTGAACGTATTTGTTTGTATTGTTCTGTTAATATAAGGCAGTAACTTTTATGTAACACAGGTATACATAAGCCACAATCTGCCGGAACCGGTTGATTCGAAAATGTCGAAAAACGTGGAACAGAGGCCTGGCATTCAATCGATTCGGGGAAATATATTCATCTTCCGCGATGGTTCCACAGCTGAAGTAGACAACTTCATATATTGCACCGGTAAAAAGACTTGATCTCCTTCGTACATATAAGTGATTGAGGTATCCGAAATTAACTATATATATAAGTAAATAAGTATTGTCAGGGCCCTGTCGAATTCTCTTCAGGCCTGAGATAAATGATAAAGCTATCATGATTCTTCAATTGAAACATTTTACATTATTATTATCCATAATATTTCTAATTTTTCAGATTAAATTAATATAAATTTGAATTAAATCGAATGAAATTACATTAATAATTCAATAGAATTACAAATTATTAATTTAGAATTAATAATAATAAATTCCACGTGTATATGAGACTGTAACGTTAATGTACATTTTACTTGTATCATGTTTCTCTTTAAAGTAATTAATTATTGTACAGAAACTGTTTCTTTTTTTTCGACATGCTTATTAAATTTGATAAAAACTTACATTGAAATTGTTCGAAGATGAGCTAAATACCTGTAGATCGTTTTGATCCTCGGTAGGACCCTGACCTTCACAAGTGTTCATTAATGTTGCGATTTTGTCGAAACCGTGTGCTTTCAGGCTACAAATTTACGTATCCCTTTATGTCGACTAAAGTTGAGATGCGTACAGACTGCAATCACGTCGAGCCTACTTACAAACACTTGATACATACGGATTATCCAAGTTTATTTATCATGGGATTGCCGGGAATTGTAATTCCCTTTCCCATGTTCCATCTACAGGCTCAGTATATTCTCAGTATTCTCGAAGGTCGTATTAAGCTACCTTCTTCCGAAAAAATGCGCGAAGAATATGAAACGGAAAAGAAAGCTCTTCTTGAGCAGGGAATTCCGGTAAGTACTGTACATAATTTTATTGCATCCCTTAATGTCAGAAAGCAAACAAATAAATATCTATATTAGAACAATTTTTATTTTTTCTACTCTCTTTTATTAATTGTACTTCAATTTTGCACTTTTTTTCTTATTTTCTTATACGGTAAATATGCAACAGATTATATAGGGTGGACCATGTAAAAGAGGCCGCTTAATGATCTTCTCTATGTAACTATGGTGGTACGAGAAAGTTTTCATACGTAATTTAAATGGTTTCAAGGGATGAATAATATGCAGAAAAATTGTTTCATAAAACAAATAGCAAAAAGTGAAAAAAAAGTTTCACATGTGATTTAAAATTTTAGATATCAGATCATTTTAAGGTAATATTATTACTTATCATTATAAGGCAACACATAGTAAAAATTATATAGGTTTCACGTATGAAAACATAGACAACTCAGAAGAAAGAAAACAGAAACCTGGCATTTATAAAAACATTTGTCTTCCATTTTATTCAGCTTTTGAAACTATTTAAATTACGTATAAAAATTGTCTCGTATCACCATTTGCTAGAGAAGACAATTAGGTGACCTGTTTTACGTTGCCCAGCCTGCATATTAAAATAAAGAATAACCGTTTGTTAAGGACGGTTAAAATTTTGGATAGATGAAATTTCATAGTTGCTAAAGGAAATCTATGTATTATTGGGAAGAAAATTCTATACAGTGACCTTTTTAACTGGACACTGTGGAATAACTTAGAAGGAACGGATGTTTTTGTAGAAATTGTTTGACATAATGGAGAAAACAATTATATAGTTATAAAGAGAATTTTTAATGCACAATTACATAATATTATTTGAATATCTGAAGGATTTATTGAAAAATTCAAGAAAATTAACGTTTCTGTTTTTCTAGCTAAGGTATATCATTAAATTAAAGGAACGGCAATGGGCATATTACGACGAAATAGCCGCGGCTGCAAATATTTCAAGCTTCCCGCCAGTAATCAGAAAAATTTACGATCACTCGAACGAGATGCGCGAATTGGACTTCACCACTTACAAGAGCTACCAGTACCGCATAATCGACGACGAAAATTTCGTAGTGTGTTATTGTAAACCTTGTTAGGGCTTAACAGCGAGAATTAAACGGAGATATTTCAAAATATGAACATTTTGGATGAAAATCGTTCAGAAATCATAATTGCTTCGCGTTTAGAGATGTCGCCTGTATTTTTCGTTCGGTTAAACGTGCGAGCATCTTAATGTCTTTATTTGTTGGAATTGAAATGCCAATGTACAGTGTCAAGGTAAAGTAATTCGAAGAATCCCGAGAATATTGGAACGCTTGAATCATTCTGACGTTTTGTATTCTTCTTTACGAATGTTTACGTATCAAGCTGAGAATTACATGTTAATAGAATTTACTTACGAAACTGGACTCATCAAGTAAAATATTAAGAGCGGATACGCGTTCTATGGTATATTTGATACACTTTAATATTCTTTGTAAAATAACCTTAAACGCAATTTGAGAACAACCGCGAAGATTCTATCGTATATTGCGCATGCGCATGAAGGACACGTCAATTGTATTGTACGGTTAAGTATATTGATTAAAAGTGGAGTGACTGTGGAAAATACTAAAAATAGGAAAGTTGTACACATTTAATAGAGACAAGAGTCTGTGTTAGTGTAACTAACAAATATGAAATTGTAATTATGCCCTAAACATATTAAATCCTTTATAAAATGCTACGTCTTTGTTGCTTGAATATTCTCGAATAACCTGTTTATCTGTTCTATTTGCGTAACTTTCATTTGGATATATTTTAACATTTTAAAATTACAATTTAAAGTATAAAATAAAAAATTTGAAATTTATTTATATCGTGAAGGAGAAAAGGTTTAAAATCATTATTCATTTAAACAAAAGATCAAGTATTTTAAATTATTAAAAGAACACGTTTTGTAAGCATAATTGGCTGCAGTGCATAAAATTAATATTACTGAAGGTAATGTTTATAAATGATGGTAAGTAAATTAAGTATTTCTTTAATCAGTATTTTTAACCACAGATGAAGTACTATACCTTTAGATGAAGTACTATACCTTGTCCACAGTTCGTATAATAAGCAATTAATTTAAAATTTCGCGCCAAGTTAGAATATGAAAGAAAAGCACGAGGTTCAGTTTGTTTGTGCAGGAGCTTTTGTCGTGATTGGTCGTATAACCTAATAGTAGCGAGAGAAATATTTTGTTTCTGTAAGAAAGTTCTAATAAAATTATAATAAATGGAGGATGTTGAAAGCAAGGCTTCCGTTACATCAAAAGAAGCAGCAATAGAAGAAGTTCCGGAAGAAATTTCGAAAAAAGTGAAAGATCAAAAGGAAGAAACGTCAAGGGTGAATGTGGAAGTACTCGATGACGAAGAAACTGCAAGGACAGAACAACCAGTTTATCAAATACGCCCGCAATTACATGAGAAGTATCTTAATTCAGTTATATTTTTATTATCTAAACATAAATTATATTCTGTTGGTTTGATCATTTCCACAATATGTTTTTAAAAAATGCTGAGTTTTATAATAAAATATTATTTAGGTTGTTGTTTAATTACCTCTAATACACGTGTCAATCTTTAGTAACTTATTAGTATTGTATTACACTTGATTATAAAATGAAAGAAAGATATACCTTCAATACAGGTTTAAACCTTTAAGCGCTAAAGAAGTCATACATAATGTACTTTTTGATCAGCTTTCTGCAAAAATTTATGATGCGGAGGAAGCTGTTCAATGGACTAAAGATATAGCTGACACAATTAGAGAAAAAATTAAAGGTGAAGTTTCTTTTGAAGTGTCAAAATTTATAGTATTTTATTGTCGAAATTTACAGTACATTAATTACAAGCATGAGTCAGAATTTTGAATAATTTCTTTTATACTTTTAGACTTAAAATTCAAACATTACAAATATATTGTAAATGTGGTTTTGGGTGAACAGCATGGTGCTGGGGTAAAAATAGGTACAAGATGTATTTGGGATGCAGAGGCAGATGCATATGCATATGATAGTTTTTTAAATGTAAGAATTGCATAATCAATTTTATTATATCAATTTATTGTATAGTGAGTATATTTAATTTAGAAAAGCAACGTGTAATCTTTGTACATTTAAGGTTGAGTTACTGATGCTATTAAATATAATAGGATTAATATTTTATAGAGTAGATAATTCCAAAGATACAAAAATTAATTCTACAATAAACATTTGTGACTTTTTGTATTTAAATTGTGATTCCTAGTAAGGTCAAATCTTCATTAACGTCGTAAAATCTTAATCTTAGGAATAGTATTAGATAGATACAAAGATAATATTTTTTCAGGACACAATATTCTGTGTGGCTACTGTGTATGCTGTATATTTTTATTAGAAAGTGGTTATATACCTCTAAATATGTTCAGTATTCGTTGATATGAAGAATATTTTAGAGTGTCACAAGTGGAGGGAGAATAAACACATGATTTCATAGGAGGAGCAAACATTTTATTAAAGCTACTGTTATTTATTAACACAAATTTTATATATATATGCATATATGTATATTAACATGGCACAATTTTTACATATATTTAAAGATATTTGTGTTCATATACCTCATACTACGCATATTCACATTTGTAAAATAATGCATTACATTTACATGTCTTCATTCACTAAAATTACTATAGCACCATAATTCACGGTATTATTATATAATTACAAAAATCTTTTAATCGTGATTAAAGGCACTTGCTATTTTGGTTATGACTTTTACTAACATTTATTTAAATTAAAATTATTCTAAACTATTAAAACTATTGTCTTAACAAATTTTTAAATGTTTTAAATTCTTTCAAAATTCATTTCATTTAAATTCATACCAATTTATGTAACTGTAAAATTCTTTAATTATATAAATATGTAACTAGTTATTATAATAATTAAAAACTAAACGAAGAACAATAGTTTCAAGTGCTTGATAGTGCATTATACATAAAATATTGTTTTAATAATATGACGATACAAAAGAAAGAATACAGTAACAAATATATTTTATGAAAAATTGTTGTATTGCAATATTGATTTGAATATTTTACATTTATGAAAAAGTAAATGAAATCATTGTAAATTTTATAAAGTTTTAATAAACTTTGTAACTATGTAATTTATAACTAATTACTTTAATATATAACTGTCATGTATTATGTATGTAATACTAATGCGTAAAATGAAAATATAATATTACACTAAACAAAGTCCAGTTATACAACAAAATCAAAATAATGTCATGTATTAAAATAATTTAACAATAGCCAGAATCAAAATAAAACTTTTGTGTTGCAACATTTGAATATTTGTTTGCAAATGTTTAAAAAATATTGCAAATAAAATAGGACCTTTAATCTGCATGATTCTTGATTCTTCAGTACAATTATGCTGAAAACCTATAACTACCAAACTATGACTTAATGTTTCTTGTAAGTTTTACTGTTTCGAATTAAAATTATATCAAGTGTTAATTGTACATTTGTTCATCGATATAATTGCTATATAACAATTGTTATATAACATACGACAGAAAATTAAGAAAATTTATGCTCTCATACCAGATTCTTTTCGTAGTTTTCCAAAAGTGTCATAGCTTTAGTGTTTCTTATGTTAAAATCGTGAATGTATCATAGGCAAGTAACAGAAGACACGTTATTCCACACACGCGATCGTTTAAAACATAGCTATTAGTTTACTTAATCGATTAACACGTTATTGTTAATATTAAAATAAGTTACATAATTACACATGGCATAGCACAACAAAGGGGCAGACAAACGGGAACAACTGCTTTTCCGCTGGTTGATTTCGATTTGCTTTTACTGGAAGCTTCGTACTCGTATTTTGCGCTAGCTTTTTGCCAACCTCCCTGTAAGGAATAGAAGGAAGATAATTAATATTGCGTATTACAAATGTAGAAGTAAACATTATTCGGTGTTTATGTTATGAATTAAATAAATTTTAACGAGTAATAAGTTACAGGGAATGTTATTTTTAAAACTATAAATTGTTATTTTAACTTTGTTTAAAGTGCTACGAGTTGCCTTTGCTCTTTGTTAAGTACATAATTTACATACACCAGATTGTGACATAGCTGCACTAGCTTCTTCTTTTTTAGTGAACTCTGCCGCTCCAGGAGGGTAATAAACTGGAGGTCCCGCAACGTTTTTGCTTTTTACTTTAGGTGGTGTGTGCGGTACAAAGTCAACTTCCTTTTTGACAGATGGCGATTCTTTATGTTGATCCTTTTCTCTCTGCTCAATGTCTTTCAGTACTTCACGCTAAAAAATGAAATTTTTTTATTTATTTATGACTATAGTTACAATTATACAGGTACATATAATAATTAGTATCACTTTGTATCTTAAGTCCTATTTCTAATGTTGCACAGTACATTTTTAATTAAGAACGAACGTTTCACTGCTATTTCTTCTCCCAACTTTTCTAATTGAGCACAGTAAATACACGTTTGAATGAGTGGTTTCATTTTTCAATAGTAACTCGAAATACAATGTCGCGAAGAGTACAAACGCATCGCGGCACGAACTCATTCAGACATTCTAACAAATGATCTCACTTAGTTCTTAATAATAATGTTTTAAATATAACTTTCGGAATTTCTTATAGCCAGTACTTGAAAACTAACGACAAAAATTCTTTCCTTTACCTCTGAGTCAGAGAACGTTGCCATAAGGTCTTCCAATTTTTTCGGCGGACTCTGCACGTTGTTAACAGGCTTGGGTGGACAAACCTGAACGCCCTCGGTTGGGAACGGTTTAGGTAACAAAACCTCATGGTCTTCGGGGTTCTTGTTCGGTGGTATCGTTGTGGTCGTGTTCGAAAATTTATATATAGTCGTGGCAGATTGCGGCGGGGTCGTCTGTGGTGGTGGTGTAGTATAATAATTAACCGGTGTTCCCGGTTTATCAGGTGTCGGGTGCCGTCCGCTGGATGGTGGCCGGCTAGGATAGTGTTCCTCAATTCGATTTATAGTGGTGTGAGTCTCGTTTATAGAAGGTGGTTGATTCTGATAAATCACCGTAGTTCCCGGATGATCTGGTCGTTCACCAGGTGGGTGCCCGTTAGGATAAGCTCCGTCAATCTGATAGTACTTTTCATTTCGCGTAATCGTCGTTTTATTTTCTAGGGGTGGTGAACTAGGATGATAGACTGGTCTTGCCGGTTGTCCTGGAGGGCTACCGAGGTGTTCCTCACGGTAGAACTTCGACTCTTGGTGTATTGTGGTAGACTTCTTTGTAACATCGGTTATCGGAGGTGGGCTACCGTACCTAACTGGCTTTTTGGCCGGTACGTTTTCGGTCATGCTTTGATAGCTGATCGTTTTGTCCACCGCGGAGCTGCCTTTCGGTATCGTGTACGTTATAGTTTGATCACCCGGGAGCACAACAGTACCTGGCACATTGCCACCAGGTAGATAGGTTTCAGGTGGTCCTGGTAGCTCGTACGTGTATGTTTTAATGGTGGTCGTTACTTTTGTGTTTGGACCGGGTGCCAAGTTGATTGGTATTGCTGGTGTTGGCGATGGGACTGGTATATATTCCACGTTTCCGTGTTCTTGTGCAGTGCTCGCATGCATCGTGGTTACTGTACTTTGCGCTGGTTCTGTTTGGTAACCTACAAAGTTTTCATTGAAAAAAATATATTTCTTGCCAAAAACAAGGCTACGATTCTTATTCACGACTTTCTCTAAGATTTTACATATTGCGCATGTACGATGTGCTTTTATCGCGAAATAATATGTATAGTATGAATAGGTGTTGATTTATTGAAATACTCTAGTACTAAGATCTCTAAAAAATCTCTGAAAAAATACTCGTTTTATTTAAATTTAAATTATGTTTATATATACTACTTAGTTGTCTATTTAAATTATTTATAATTGATCAAGGAGAATTCAATTTAATAAGTAAGCAACGAGCACTAGGTAGTTTCTATAATATTCGTATTTTATCAATTTCTAAGTATACTTACTCGAAGATTCGTGAATATACTTCATGTCTCTTTGTTGAGTACCTGGTAAAGGTGAAGTTTGTTTCGAACGAGACGTAGAACTGTCACTGTACACCTGAAATATCAATGTTTTTATGTTTCTTTTTAATCAGTACTTGTATGTGTAAAATATACCAAAAGACAAAGTACACACTAATTCTCTGTTGAGTGATTTGTTAACAGACTCTGCGCCACGATGTAATGTACTTTCTTCGTAGGTCCTTTCTCGAATATCGTCGCTGTAAAAAACAGTGTTATTATACTTTAAAGCGTGTCGTTTATTCGGTAAAATACAGATCAATATTTTAGTTATATTTTTGTGTTCTTTGAAAGAGAATAGTACTTACATCAAGGCAGAACTGGCGTTAGTCAATGCATTGTCAGTTGTCCACGAATCTGATATACAGAAACAAAATTTAGTTGATATTGATGTTGTTATTAGATTATTTAACACTAAAATTCTTACATTTCTAAGATTCATCATTTCTGATGGATTTTAGAGAATTAGAAAAGAATAGTCAATTGTTATATTTGTAGTTGTGCTGTTTTCCTTTTTACAAATAGCTAAATATTTATTGCATTGCGGTAGAAGCTATTTCACAGAAATTTGTGTATTAATTTGTATAAATATCATACAAATTTGTGCTTTTTACTATGCAGATGTTCATTTTTTAAAAACAAAAAATAACGACTTTTTTTTTACGTATAGTTTATTTTAAGACAAAATGTCGTAACTTGTTTCTTCTGTTAAAGTGTAGATATTACTTTTACTTTACAATAAATTGTCTACTTTGCATACAATATAATTTATGGTTAATGTTGAACAAATTAATTTTTTTTGCAAACAAAAGTAAAGAAAGAAAGCACAAAGATGTGTGATCTTATGTTCCAAGTGTAACAATTATCGCCAGGTTTACAGTTTTTCAACAAGAATGACAATTATAGTTTGTTGAACATTACTTCACTCGTAATATTAATTAACTTAATTCTATGCAAATTCGTACTTTTTTCGTAGACATGCAGATTTAAATAAAATATAAACCTCAACATATTTTCCATCAGTTAATGTCACAATTTTCACGAAAGATTAAAAAAAAAAAAAATGACCGATTTAGTGGAATTTCTTATACAAAGAGAAAAAGAAACGTTTGGAAGGCCAGCGAATACTCGTGTTTGAGTTTCCGTTGAACAACCATCACCCGCTAACCCAATGAACATCCTTGTGTCTCAATGTCGCTGATTTTTTCACTCGAGCTGACGTTCCTATCTTTTCTTTAACTTTTCATTTTCTCTCTGTCTGAAGTGCAGCAGAGGGACGGGGAGAAATCGGGTCAACCTTCTGTTATACGCAGCCCTAATATGGATACGCTTGTGTATCGTGTGTTACCGCAAAGAACACACACTCTGGACGCTATGTCACTTCCATATAGAGAGACAACCAGTGCGGAAACCTTCTCCGTATAATAGCGTTATCGTGTTACCTGCGACCACGACGATTCACCAGAATCTCATAGAATTTCAGTAATTGCGACATTTACAACGGAACGTTTTCTCTTTTACATAATTCACACTTATTAGACCGGAACATAGTATGTATTTCGCAATCGTAACGTGTGTATTATCATATCAAATTTATCCTCGAAATTGATACTCAAAATTTTCATCTATTGTTGTTTGTACTTTACGACAATGTACGTGTAGAAATTTTTGTCCATTGTGTGTAAGTGAAAACTGTCACGTTACATGGTAGTGTTGAACTATAATACTGCATGTTAAACAATTCAATCTTGTGGCTGTTAGTATTGTACAATATTTTTTTACAGCATTTGAAACTGGAAGTAATTTCCCTTATTGTTCAGATAACTTACTCAGGTTAAGTAGTTATTTCGTTAAATATAACAGAAGTTAAAATAATGAGAAAAAAATGTGTTAATCCTCTATGGGCCGAATATGTTTCTTGACTGTAAAAGAATTTATGTAACGTAAAATTAGCAAATATCGACCTATAAATACAGAATAACAGTGAATTCAGCAGTTTCGACAATTTTATCATAACGAATATATATTGTAACTTTGAAGTAACAACGGTTATCAAGAAAGTTACTGGTTAATAAGGAGACATTGTACAACAAGACGTTTATGCCATTTTGTGGAAGAAAGTTCAATTATTTAATAAAATATCGATATATTAGTATGTGACTTGAAAGTTACACGGGCCCATAGAGGGTTAAGGGGGTATTGTAGTCTAGACCTTTCAAAAAATCGAGTTCTTTTTTTTTGCATTTCACAGTGTATTGTTAAATTTTTGCAGCGAAATTCGAAGTATTTCTATTATACTATTCCTTTCTGACATGAAGTAACACAGTAGTCTAACTCTTTTTAGATTAGTCGCAAGAATATACACTGTTCGTTAGAAAAATTGCAATACCTGCAAAATGAAATCGCACAAATCTGAAATTTACATATATTGTTTCGAGCACTGAAAGGGAATGATGATTAAAATTTGGTTAAAAAGGTCATTGTTTCCTCAGAGTAGCCTGAGAAACATGTGATTTCCAGATTTGTGCAAACCCAATTTCTGTGTTGCAATTTTTTTGGCGGGCAGTGTATATTATCGCATGAGAATTGAATACTCAAACTTTAAACGCGTTTTTCTCGAAATAAACTAACCAGCCGATCGGTTTGAAATTTTAACACGTCATTCTACATACCATTGGCTCTCTCGGATACCAGATTTACAGTTCTGTATTGAAAATTTCACATTTTTTATGTCGAAAATCTGAAAAGAAAGTGGAAAATTTCGATACTTAAACTTCGAACGCATGTTATTTTGTTAAATTTGGATTTACGTAGCTAATTATAGTACCTGCGATAGCGGCACTCATACCGATTATCAAATTTTTTGATTTTTTCGTTTTGGACGAGTTTGTGAGCTGAATCTCAGCGAGGCAGCTTTCTTTACCTCTAGATATTAAAGAAACCATTAAACAGCTATTTAAAAAATTGTTTTGTATGCTTTATAGGTGTCTTAATAAGTGAAAAAAAAGTTTGACGTTATTTTGAATAAATACAATGTCGACAGTATTAATCGACTTTTCGGATCAATTATACAAAACGTTCTGCATCATTAAGTAATATTCGTTATAAGAAAAACTTATTACAGTCGAGTTCCTTATTACAATCGAGAGATAAAATAAGTTTTCTTCTCGCATTTACTTTGTCGTTCCAATAAAATAACGTTCTTTAGTCAATAGGACTCGTGAAATTAATTATTATTAACATTAACAAATTCAATCAAATCCGCTTTATTACGGCAAATTTCTTTCTACTCTGATAAATCGTTCAACCCTTCAAGCCCCAGTGTTGCACCGGTGCAGCACTCATTTTAACCCTTTGCACTCGAGTGGTGACCGAGGAGCGACATTATTGTTTACCATTTGGTAAATAATTAATTGAGGCCCTTTTAACCCTTTGCAGTCCTATGTCGAGTCAGACTCGACGTAAGAATTGTTGCCTTCAGATGTCGTATAACGATAAATTATAAATTATAATAAACCATTTTTTTATGCATTAATATTATACTGAAAGTTAGTATTTTATAACTAATATTACGTTGAAATATTGAAATAAAGGGAAGCTACACGGTATTGCCCGGGAGTGAGCAAATGAGTAAGGACTAACTGGACTATTTGGACCGCAAAGGGTTAAAGCTGATATTTTACGGAACAACAGGTCTATGGGCCTCTCGTATATGTCTAAGCAGTGAAACAGTTCGAAAGAACCAACTTCTATTGAAATGTATCGTAATTAAAATATATTTGTCAACGTATGTGTGATTTATTTCTATTATTTTTAAAAAAATTTCATCAATTTTTTAGCACAAGTAAGTAGCAAGATTTGCTGCTTCCCTGTAGCAAAAAGATCTTCGAGTGCAAAGGGTTAAAAGTGCGTCAAATTCTGTCGCCGGTTAATACAGTAAAGTATTTAGATCTCAACGTTTTGGGTTGAGAAATTCCACTACTCCCTCCAAAAATTTATTCTGCATCATTACTTCATGCCTTGTTCTCGTGTTTCCTTAAATTGATCAGATAAACCATTGGAAGTACTTCCTCCTCGTTAAATCTTTCATCGTAACGTTTAGTTGAAAGTTAAATCACTGCACAAAAATATTGCGAAGTCGTTTCAAGTCTTATGTACATATGTAAGTGTTTTATCATCGATATTTTCGGTTTAATATCGATATTTTCGACTTTGAAATAACAATTTAAAAGTCTGGGCGTTGAAGGGTTAACTCTTCGGGGCATAGTGGGGTAAACAGTGTCCCACCTTTTTAGTACGAAACATTAAGAAAACAAAACTAATCTAATTTAACCTGTTTTCACAAATTTCATGGTGAGATTATTTATGTCCCACCTAATAACTAATTATCTCAACATTTTTGTTTAGTTGTCTTATGTCGTAATTCATATCAGCTTTGTTACATTTTTTTCAAATAAAATTCCCGTGCATCTGGAGTCTGTTTTTGTCTTAAAATTCTGTGCTTCAAAGAGTTAATGCGTTTAATGCTGTTTGCAAGGTTCGTCTAATTTTGGCTGTGTAAGATCCGGCATTTAATGGTAAACAATAGAGTTCAATCGATGAAATGGAGGTGTGAGGCAAGTTTCACGATGATCGCGCGATAAGTAACAAACCTCCCTCGTTCTGTCATTCTCACTGTTAATTAACCGTATACCTGCAAGGCCGTTCCGCGCCTTAAAAGGAGCGACACGAGTGACCAGCTCCCCTTCCTTCTACGAGCATTTAAAACACGGCAGCGCTTGTGCGCGATTCCTCGCGAATACGCCCGAGGGTTTCTAGCCGTATAACGGACTTTTGCTTTTTACCAAAATTCCACTTCCTTTTCAGATTCCTTTCCACGTGCCAATTTCAACTCTCTGGCCTTTTGATTTTTCCCCGCTGCTTTCTTGATCGAATTTCTCGCTGCACCCTAAGCCATACTTATTTTTCATTCCTTCCAGGTATTGTGTGCTATCTAATTTATCAATATCCTTTTTTTATGGTTTTCGTTGTAGAACAGGTTAGTAACAAGTTTAATTTACGACAGTGATGAAAATATAAGATGTAGATTTAACGAAAATATGTAATGTTAATATAAAGATTTTGCAACTTCAAAGATGTAAGAGGAAGGCATTTAAAACTTGATATGAAACAAGCAGGTTATTTTTTTAAATAATCGAGTCCTTTCAGTGACGAAGGGTAAAATTTGTAGGTTGACAGTTTTGAAGAATTTTGCTTTTAACCTTGTTCAAATTTTAGGAAATTGTAGCAGAATGAATGGAGCGTTTGTTTCGTGATAGAGTGTATAGAAGTTTCACCAAATTCTTCAGTAAATTACCAATTAGTACTCAAATTCACAGTATTTTTTTTTTTATTAAGAAAACTTGACAAATTCTTTAGTAAATTACCGATTAGTGAACAAATTTACAACGTTCTATATTTTGTTAGTAAAATAGTACTTAAAAAAATGCTAATATCTATAATGCTTGACATAAACTTAGAATAAATATTGACGTGAACTTACCGATTGGTTTTCCATCCAGACTTTTGTTATATTCATATGACACCTGCTTGTAAGCGATTGTTTTGCTCTGACCGGGTTGTACCTGAAACGGAAAAATGATTTTATTAAATATCATTTTTCTGAATTCAATAGACGATCACCAATTCGTATTGTATATTCCTATTTATTACTCACTAGTTCATTTTAACAGTATTTTTCACAAGCATATTGTTCACCTAGCTAAAAGTGTAGCAAAGGTACGTTTGTATAATAAATAATCAACGATTTGCCTTAACGAACGACTAACACGAAGTTTCTATATGCACTGAATGCGTAATATGTTCATTAAAATTTTCTCTACCGTACACATGTATAAATCATTTTTGCACTTTTGCTGCTGAATTTCGTTGCAAATAACTGTTCGCCCTTTTAACTTTTTCCATACGATAATATATTTATTAATTCGGTGCTTCCTTTATTTGCAAGAAACAGATAAGAATTTTAATTTCTACTAGTTTGGATGATACATTTTCGAATTCCTTTTTTAAAAATATGTGGCGACATTCAGACGATAAAGTCGCGAAGACTTTGTGGACAAAGTCGCAGAATTCATTTGTAAACCTGATGTATTCAATTATATCTGTAACACATTATGTAATCGAATTATTCATTGAGGTACTTTGGTATTCAGGTGATTCATGTTTCATTCGCAGATTCGCTAGATGAACAATTATGATGCGTTTAACGTAAAACACGTGGGTCGTGTTCGGGCGACCCTCCTTTTATAAGATTGCAATTATAATGAACAGCCATATGCAGTATCAGTTGGTGGATCGGTAACAGAGTTTGAAGTAGCTGGAACTTCGGCTCTGAATCAGAGCCACTGAATATTTCATTGAGACAACGAAGTTACATAGGCAATTATCAACATTCGAATCTTCAGAACGTGTAAATAATTAGTACGAACGATCTCGAATTGCTAGAGCTGATAGTCCTCGCGATAATTCTTGGAGTGATATTAGGTCGTTCGGAAAGTTCTCTCAAATTTCGTCGTGTGAATTCAAAATATTGATTATCAATTATCAAATTTCATAATTTGAAATAGGGACCATTACAATCGATACACCTTTGCCAACGTATCACTAATTTATTTATGCCGTTTAGAAAAAAGCTACGAGGTCTGGAATCAACAAAGTCATAATCGTTTCTCCCTTTTTCAAAAAATTATGCCGAATAATTTCGTCAATAGACCACAAAACTTTTTTGCAAAGTGATGAACAGCGAGACAAATTTCGGCCCCCCTATTCACCAGATCTGAGTTCTGCAGGCTTCTTTTCTTCTCCCCAAACTGAAAAATTCAACCTGAAAGCCATCATTATGGCAATGTGATCAAGATCCAAAGACCTGTGAAACACACCAGTTGAAGGCGATAACACTAAACAACTTCCAACACTGCTGTAAACTGCGAGAGCAATATCTTCGACGGTGTATAGCCTCCGAAGGGTACTACTTTGAAGGTGATAACGTGGTTTCGTAAATCTCTTTCAAATACAGAGTTTTCTAGTAACAGTCTCACTACTTTTCTGCCACATTTTGTATGAAAAAGAAGCAGATGTTCCATTTGTGAAACACCCATAGCAACTCGTCTTTAAAAATATTTCTGCAAATGTTAAAAGTTCTTATGTCTTGAACATAGTAATATTATTTGTGACGAATGTTGTAGTCGTTTTGCAAATCCATCAACTTGAGAATTGAGAATACATTTACCTTATTCTGTCACGAAGGAATATGTATATTTCATTGAATAATTATAAATTGTATCTATTTTTATATATTCGTATAATTTTATTTTTGCACAAAGTAGCTCTGCAGCGTAGATTCTAAATAATTACCGTATCTCTCAGATACACCGCGACCCAATAAGGGATTCTCAGGACCGCGACCTAACACCAATTGTTAAAAATGACAAAACTTATCGAGGAATCATAAGTAAAAGTTACTAATTTTCGAGTAACAAACTTCAACTGTAACATCACCGCAAGGAACTCGAGATATAAAACTATATACAGCGTAAAATATGAAACGTGTTATTCGAGTGCAAGTTACTCAGCTCGTATTTAGTTCAAATGTAAACTAGAATGTAAATTCTATGCGAATAACTTGTCATAGATTTTCCTTTTCATAGCTGAAGCTGTTATTTCGTATGCAAATGAGAATAGGCGGTGTCCTTACGTACCTGAAGGGCTCTTACGCTGGAAGTTTATCCAGCAAGCGCAAGATGCGCGCGGTAAATTCAACGTGAAACCTATCTACATTTTCATTCAATGTTAAATTATGGCCTGACCGGGTAGGAAACGGTGCAATTACCTCGATTCTGCGTACGCGTAACAGCAATTTTGCATCTTCGCATGATTTTCTAATGTCCGATATATCTCGTAAGATGTTAGATTTATGATACTGCATTCTGTAAGAAACCCAACCTGGATTTTAGATTATCACCTGAGAGAGAGAGAGAGAGAGAGAGAGAGTTATTTTCTCGGAGATAGCGGTAAGATTTTAAAGTTCTCGAATTTGTTCATTTTTCAAATTGTACAATGCGTTTGTAGATTTTCGTAATTTAACTTATTTGAAAACAGCGTAGTTCTAGAGAATATCATCTTATGTTCTGTTTCAGACTCAGGGAAATATGGCTTTTAAACAGGTTATTCAGCAGCCATGGTTTTTATGTATTGTACAAATACGTGTAGAAAATATATTGTACGCAATTCAACGTATTGACAGTTAACAGTAATTTTCTATATATTTATATAGTATCTAACTGTTTTTTTTCTAATGTGCTCCAATAAACTGTACCTACGTAATTTCTCTAACAAATAAATTATTCAGAAATGAAGATACTGTATAATAACATTCAAAGAATTTCCGAAAACAGAGACTAACGGTCTTTATGAATTTGGAATTTAGTTAATCGTTGGAAAAATGTGTAGAATCGTATGGAAATTGCTTTGATTAAATGAATTATTCTTTGAAGAAATACAAGTTTAATTTCAAAAAACGACGTTTCATACGCGCCAGCCTAATTTATTATAAATGCAATTTTGTTCTCGTTGTATGAAGAACGGCCAGTCGGTAGGCGTTTGTTTCTACACAAAGTGACCAGTCAATAATAGGTTAAAAATAATTCGTTCATTGTGGATTTGAAATATAAATGACATAACTCTGAGCAATTTGAAAATATCTGTCAGAATTCTAAGTAAAATTACACACTTGCCTGGTTTATTTTGGTTGTGCGTTAGATCGGATTCCGTGATGTTTAGAAACGTTGAGATTACACCGGACCCAACTATAAAAGTGATCTCACTATTTTCTACGATTTTTCTAATACATCAGAACTCTGTGAACATCTAGACGTAGGCACACGCGAACGTTTTACCTCGAGGCGAATGTTCAGCGATGCAATCTCTTTAACGTATAATTGAGCTATCGTATTTCAACAAAAAGAATGTAGAAAAGCAGAAACTAATGTTATGCTGGTTGCATATCCTCCGAGACGTTCTCGATTAATAGTTTTCTATGTTACGAATGAAAACACCTTATGATTTTGTTTCGCTCCAATAAAAGTAAAAGAAAAGGTTCGAAATTTAGAGACGTCGCAGCTTAGCCAAGAATTATTTCTATATTGTCACAATTTGTTTTACATCTTGGAGTGAATATTGTCAAGTAAACGTATTTTGTAACGTATATCTGTTTTTTTTTTTTTGCATTGTCAGTAATTTTTCATTAATTCATTTCATTATTCACCGTCACCTTTCATAATTGTTTAATATTTTCAAAAGCATATACTTTCTTTTAAACTCATTTTACCTTTTCCAAACATTTCCAGAAAGCAGATACCGTCATAGGGCATTGTCATTAAGTTTCCACCTGTGTGATCTACATTTTATTAAAGTTTGGTTCATTTATATTCTTCAAAATTAGAATAGAGAGCTCAAGGCAGCGTGACCCACCGGTGGG